TATATTCTATTGTTCAAGAAAAAAAAAAAGTATTTGTACTCACTGAGAGATAGCATCAAACCATGTTTTATGGATGATTTAAGGGAATTGCCAAGATTAAATTTTACACCTACATGATTTTTATTTTGCCTTAACAGCCAACAATCTCTCCCTAGAGTTATAATTCCATTGTACATTGGTGAATCCAGTTTTATCAGACAAAACTACCACTTACATTCTTTTTTCTTTGTTTTGCAGTTTTTGGCCAGGGCTGGGTTTGAACCCACCACCTCTGGTACATGGGGCCAGCACCCTACTCCTTTAAGCCACAGGCACCGCCCCCACCTACCCACTTACATTCTTGAAGTAGCCAAAATTTGCTAATGTGAAACCTATCTTTCTACAATTAACACTGGAACTTCTATCAAAAATCATAAAATAAAGGGGATATTTAGTCCAGTTTCACCAATTAGGAAATTTCTCCCATTTGATCTTTCCCAAGTCACAGGGAGAGTAAAGGCTTTAAGACAGTAGACTTTTTAACTATCAGTTAATTAAATACAAATTAATAACTGCAGCTAAAAAATTGAGCAAGGAAGCCATTCTCCCAGCATCTCCCCTCTGGGCCAGCCAGCGCTCAGCATTAGATACTGGGGAAGTTACAACATGGAGACACCAGCTATGGCTTCCTCTGCTCCACCTAGCCTCCTTCCTCCAGGGTCAAGGCAGCTGAGGCTGGCCAGACACTTCACCACACCGAAGGAACAGTATCTAGATGACGGAGTAAAAATGGGTCCTCCTTCCTTCCCTTCGGAAGTCATGCTGGCCCTCTTATTCCAAACCCTTCACCTCTCCCCCCCACTCCACGAAGTGACTCTACCTCTTTCCCCACTTCTGAATGTGGGCATTTCAATTCCTTGAATGCCTCTGAGTCTTCATTCCTTTTCTTTTTTAGGAATTGTAGGGCTAGTGGCCAAAAGTTGATAACTTAGCATCTGGAGCCCCAAAGATTTTAGAGGACTTGATTCATAATGGTTTCATCTCTAGTCTCTAATTACATACATCATTAGCAAAGGGAAACACTGTTTTAGGGAGTTTTAAAGAGAAAGATGAGTCTGCCTGAATTCCTAGGCTGATGCTAATCGCAGTGGGTCTGATTTTCCACCCCAGGCCCTGTGGTGAAGTTTCAGAAAGTGAGATTCAGCCCTAGAGGGATTAGACTGGGAAATTCAAAAGCTGTTGGAACAGGAAGTTTCAAATTACTTTTTTAAATGATACACGCAATTACAGACTATGTTTTCTTTTAAGTGATAATTTCCTAGAGTTTATGGAAATGAGATTTGAGCCTATATTCAGATTCAGAGTCTGTCAACAACAACAACAAAAATTTAAACATTAAAAAAATTATTTATATAGTTTCAACCTTCATTTTGATTGGGACTCATCAGGGAATCATTATCATTGCTTGAAATCATTATCATTGGGTCATTGTTGAAGATACTTGTCCTTTGTAAAGCAAGAAACAGAATGCAAAGTACTATTTCTTCCCTAGTGATATTTATAATTTACTAGATTTGAGAGATAATGTCATGGCAATTTTAATAAATACTAGCAATTCATAATTATAATGGTCATCAATGTCATAAGAAATATGAATGACAGAGGAAGAAGATAATAGGGGAGATGTCATATCTGGGGAAAGTGTTCAAGTTGAGATAGGATTTGAGAGGAAAAAAATCTGAATTAATTAGTTTATTTGGTATTTATATGTTAGGCCTTGAGGACTCAAGAATGAGCAAGATGATTACAGTTCTGAATAGGAACAGGGAGACAGACAGTAAATAAACGATTACATAAGTCCTCACAGATTGGAAACTTTCTCAAGTGGGTTGAATGTGAAACATGTTCAGCAGAGCTTGTGAAGACAGGGTGGGGGAAGAGAAAGATTTTACCTTGTAGCGACAGCCTTAGATACCTTTGTCCTTGGAGTTTCTGACCAAAGTGCCACCTTGGTTTTTAGTTCTTTATTCTAAAATTGGAAAAAAAAAAAAAAAAGACAGACAGAAAGAAAACAAATAGAGACACCAAATACCCAGCATATTCCTAAGCTACATCTTCAGGGTTTCTGGTCGACCCATCACCTGCCTCTCCCCTTGGCAGGAAGTTTGTGCCACGGTTATTTTGTTAAAACACAGAAAACAGCCACTGGAAAGTCATCCGATAATATCTCTGAAAAATGCATAATTTACGAAGGGATTTAAATATAGTATTCTCATTTAGCATCTGAAATTCAACAGCTGAAGGATCTATGTTTGATTTTACAGGTTTTTTTTTTTATTAAATATAGACGGATGGAAAGAACTTCATGTAAAAAACTTTATTAAAGAAGTTTGTTAAAGACACCCACAATATTCATCACACATCTGTCCTTTTGTAATCTCTTCATTATAAACCCCATGAAAATAGGCCCCATTCGTTCTTTACTGTACTCTCTAGCCTCAATTTTCTCACTGAAGACTTAATTTCTTTATCTCTGTGCTGGTGGTAAATGATACACATCCTGCCTATCTTGTCTAGGTTGTTAGAAGAATCACATACCATATGATCACACTATTTTAATCTGGAAGCACTCTCATAGTTCTGGGAGAGAGTATAACAGTTAAGAAAAGAGTTAAGAGTATCAGCTCTCAGGTTCAAATCCTAGTCCAGCCCTTTACTAGCTGCGTAACCTCATTTAGGTTACTTCACCCCTCTGTGCCTAATTTCTTTGTGTGTATAATAGGGTTTGAAATGACATAAAAAAAATACGTAAAGTGCTCAGCTCAGTTCTTGGCACAGATTCAAAGAATTAAAGGCAGTTGGTCATGGTTTTCCCGTCCAAGTTCCATTTATATATCTAAAAATTGAGGTCCAAAGATTTCAACTGAACCAATTTAACCACCCAACATCCTATTCATGGCAGAGTGCAGTGGCAGGTTGTGTCCAGAGCTAGTGCTTTCTCTACAACACAGCCAAGTGAGCGATTTCACTTCACAAACCTGGACAATCATGCCCACGGCTGAGTTCCTTGTTGGCTGCGCTGAGGCCAGAGGTCTTTAAACCCAGGCCAAAAGGTAAACAAAGGGGGTACTGTAAAAGGAGTCTGGGACCAGAAGGAAGCTATGTGTAATGATGGCAGGTGACAAACTGCAAAACACCAGCTCTGTGTCATTCAGGACCCTAAGGACTTAGAGCAGTGGTTCTCAACCTTCCTAATGCTGCAGCCCTTTAATACAGTTCCTGTGGGTCGCAACCCACAGGTTGAGAACCGCTGACTTAGAGAGTCATGTAATTAAAGCTTAAAAGGTATTTTTCTAAGATTCCATCTGATAGTTTGGAGTCTGCCACTGATTCTATGGCCCCTTCTTAGCTCCCAGCATTTATACTGAATAAAAAATAAAAGATGAAGCCAACATCTTCAGACATGTTAATCATTTCACTATACTGTTTCAACTTTAGGCACTAAAGTTTCACCCTGGAAGTGGTATTCTGATTTGATAAATAGATGGTAAAGATTTCCTCATATAATGAAGATAAATCTGATACACACTCTCAACAAGTCCAGGCACAAAGCTCAGGCTAGGTATGTGGTCAGGAAAAGTCCCCTCCATACAGAACTTTTGAAAAACAGTATAGTACAATTTGAAACATATTATCATTTGACAATCACCATTGGATTAAAAATATTCTATACCTGGAAAATTATGTTCAAGCCATTTGGATCTTTTCCAGAATAAACTCCTAGTTTCTCAAGTAGTTGAGTACCAAGCAACAGAAAAGCACAAGTGCTATTAGGTTATACTACCTTTATTTGAACTTCCATGCTGATTTGTTTTATCTACCAGATTTAGGTATTTATTCTTGATGGATAGGTTTTTCTGGTTTTCCTTTAACTAGAACAGCCCATGCATGAGTTTCATTACACCATCAGTCTACAGAAATATAAATCACTGGGCAGAATAGCTCTCCCATTATTACGATTTTATCCAAGGATGGTTTACAGCCACAGTTTTCCAAAAACATAAGTTTTTACAAACTTAATCTTTTAGCAACATACTCTAAGAATTAAATTTTTAAAGATGATGTTGATTGCATAAAATAGGATAATCTTCAAAGTTTAGAAAATGAGGTAATTTCTTAAGATGCATTTCCATGTGAGCAGATCATTACTGAAGAAGCCAGAAATGCATCAAATATAAGAAGAATGTTAGCACTGTGAATTAAGATATAAAGGATATGCAAAGGGAGAAAAAACGTCAACAATTTTGGTAGATTTAAGCAGAAATTATTTGGTGGTATTTAAACGAGACTTTACAATATTAAAGGTTTTAAAAAGCCAGGTAGAAATATATGAGTATATTTTATCCTCCATAGAGAGGAGAGAAAATTGCCAGAATAAAAAGAACATTAGTGAAAATAGTATTTGTTTCTCTAACTTGGAATCTAGAAGGAAAATAGAAAATATTGAATGACTACAATAAATGTAAATCATCATACAAATTCAATAACTATGCATTTTTAAATAGACATAGCATTACCAGTGTATAAACATATACATTTCATACACATGTTTACACATATATACACCTATAGACACTCATACTTATTTGATCATCCAGATAAGTCCATATCAGAGGGAGGCATATACTTTATGCCTAAAAAGAAACAAATTGTTTTTAGCCTGAATGAGAAACAGATTCTGTCTGTATGCTTTACAAAGGTGATGTGTTTCAAAAGGTTGTTTATACTCTGGTGATCATTTTTTACAAACTGAATCAGTCCATTCTGTTATTTCATGAATTCCAAAATAGGCAGTGACCTTACATTTGGGGGGCAAGATACTATACAACTGCATACGTCATCCTACTTTAAGAACTTTATAATAAATTATTCACTAGGGATGGACTAGAAATTGAATCACTATGGCTCAAACACCCACTGTATTTGTTTATTATATATATTTTTAGACACATGGTGTCACTCTGAAACTCAGACTGGATAGCAGTGACACAACCATAGTTCACTGTAGCTTTAGACTCTGGCTAATTTTTTTAAATTACTTTTTATAGAGATGGGAGTCTCACTATGTTGCCCAGGTTAGTCTTGAACTCCTGGCCTCGGGGAATCTACCCACCTTGGCTTTTCAAACTGTTGGGATTATAGGCATGAGCCATAGCACCCAACCCAGTGGACACTGGGTTAAATATATTTGGACACCTGGTGAAAATCCCCTGCTCAGAGATGCTCTGCTGGACCCCCAGTACTCTATAACTTCTCACATTGTTCCATTCTTTCTCCGAGTACTGGTTAGGTTGTATACTTACTTGTTTATTTTCTCTATTGTCAATTAAAGTGTAAGTAAGATGAGGTCAGGGACCATCTGTCTTGTCCATACACCGAACATACTTTGGCACATTATAGATACACAAAAAGAATTTGCTAAATAAATAAATTAGTGAGGCTTGGACTTTTTAAAGCTCAAATGGACAATAGTAACATCCACTTCTCTGAAGGAAAAGCTTTATCTATTTGAAGATGCTCATCAGGTACTGCTATTATCTGAAGACCTTTTTATAAAAGAAAATGTTAGAAAACAGTGGCTTAGATTGAGCTACATATAGGAATCTAAGACCCTGAGTGAGGCTGCCACATTGTGTGGAGTGTCTGTTTCAGGAGGGAACAGAAATCTGTTCCTGGGTCATTCCACTCTGACTGGCCAGTCAGTGATTATCTGCTAAATGTGGTTCTCTAGAAAGAGTATAACAGAAAAAAATACATTTTTCTTGTCTAACTATTGGACCAAAAGGCCAACTGGCTAATGTACAGTATCTGAATGAAGTTGCCAGTTTATTTAGAACATAAAAATCTGCTTTGGGGATGATATAAATAAACAGACACAACTAAAGAACATTAAATTGAATTAGATGCCGTAGCACCATCGATACCTGGGCTCTGTGATGAGAGTTGGCACTTAATTAGGTCTGACCAGAGCCCAGAACCATAATGAAATGAAAAGTCTGAGAATGATGCCAACTCTAAAACAACCCCTCCAATTAAAATGTATTAAAGATGTACGATAATTAAAGCAGTAAGGTATGAGAGCCAAAATCAACAGATACACCATTGGAACAGATTCAATAAGAATTTCATCTAGAATAAATGGGCATTTTAAATTCACTCACTGGCCAGTAAATTCCAGAGTGCAGAGCTCACTCATGTGTATTTTGTTCAACACTGTTTTCCTGAATTTACTACTTATATCATAGCAGCCACTTAATAAATTTACACAATAATAAATAAATAAATTAATTAATTAATTTACACAATTAGTGATGTGAGCAAATCAATGAAATTAAAGTTTAAAACATTACAATGTGATTCAGAATGGGAAAAGATACTTGCATTTTATGAATCGGACAAATGCTTGATAACTAGGGTCTACAGAAAATTCAAATTAATCAACAAGAAAAGACTCAACAATACCATATATTACTGGGCAAGACACACAAATAGAACCTTCTCCAAAGGAGACAGACAAATGGCTAACAAACATGAAAAGTTGCTCATCGTCCTTAACCATCAGAGAAATGCAAATCAAAATTACCCTGAGGTCTCACCTAACCCCAGAAAGAATGGCCCACATCACAAAGTCTCAAAGCTACAGATGCTGCTGTGGAAGTAGAGAGAAGGGAACACTTTTATACTGCCAGTAGAACTGCAAACTAATACAACCATTTTGGAAGGAAGTATGGAGACTTCTCGAGGACTCAACTTAGATCTCCTATTTGATCCTACAATTCCATTACTAGGTATCTACCCAGAAGAAAAAAAATCCTTTTATCATAAGGACATTTGCACTAGTCTGTTTATCACAGCTCAATTTATAATTGCCAAACTGTGGAAACAACCTAAATGCCCACCAACCCAGGAATGAATTAACAAGCTGTGGTACATATGTACTGTGGAATACTATTCAGCCACTAAAACAGATGGAGATTTTATATCTTTTGTATTAACCTGGATGGAGGTGGAACATATTCTTCTTAGTAAAGTATCACAAGAATGGAGAAGCAAGAATCCAATGTGCTCAATCCTAATATGAAGGCAGTAGATTATCTAATAATACAATGTGGGGGGCAGGGGGATGGGGAGCTGGGAGAGGGGAAGAAGGAGGGGGATGGGGGGTCACAGTGTATGGCACACCTCTTGGGGGTGGAACACAATTGTTAAGAGGCATTTTACCTAACAAATTGAACATGG